TTCTACTCCCGTAAAGATTTACACCCTTGGAAACCCTGTACAGGGTCGCTATGGGTCGGACCCGACTCGATGGCACTTAACAACAACAACAACACCACACTAAGAGTCCACGAAAGTATTTGCAAAGTCAGCCGTTTTAAAGAAATGTGCAGTAGACACCAACACATGTGGGTGTCTGTTGTACTCTATTGTCTTAATCATTCTGTTATCAAGGGGATTGAATATATGAAATTCTTTGACTTGCAAGGAACCAGGCTTACTGGTAGCTCTACACAGGCTTATCCGTTTCTACAGCAAATGATCCCTTAATGACTGCTGTGTGCCAGGCCTGCACTGGCAAAGTGATTTGGCTGTGGATCCAACACTTGAACTTGCAGCATGCCGACAAGTATAATCCTGAAGATTGAGTGCCCGGTGTGGAGTTAACTAAAACACAGCAAGGGATCCAAGAGAGAGCCTGTTTACCAATCCAGGAGTCAGGGAAGGAATCTTCTGGGACACATTAGCAAGAGGCAGCCCAGTGGGCCAGCCGTAGTGACTCAGGTGAGGTTGGGGCAAACACTAGCACTTGCAAAGATGGGTGGGGTAGAGAGAGAGTGGAAAGAAGGAGGTAGCAGCAGTAGAGAGCTAAGCAGTAGGCAGGTTGCAAAGAACCTTGTATGACACTCTGCTGAAAATGGAAGTCACTGAGGGCAAACTGCATGAGTCCATGGGTCTTCTGAGTGGTTTCACCAGCCTGCAACCTAGAGGTTGTTGGAGATGGGCAAGGAGTTCAAGACTGCGCTGAATGCGGTGGGGACATACAGGAAGACGTGGATCAATGGGAACCAGGAGGCTTGTTGACTAATGATATGTGGCCACAGGGAAAGGAAGTGTGCTGCCTTCTGCACTGGTGGTACCAGTCATCGTTAAGGGCACACACAGGCACCTGTGTATGAATTGTCCCCAGTTTATGATATCTTCATTATCATTTACCACCTGTGCTTGGCCAAGACCACCACCAATCTGTCACTGTATTGTATTTTAGTGGCTTGTATGTCACTGTGATGCTAGATGCTATTATGCCACTGGTATTTCAAATACCAACAGGGTTGCTCATGGTGGGCAGATTTTGAGGTGCTTCCAGACCCAAACTAGAAAGAAAGGACTGGAAACGTAACGCAATCCTGGAAGATGAGTCCCCGAGTTGAAAGGCACGCAGAATATGCAGTGGCCACGACAATGGACTCAAGCAGACCACAAATTGTGAAGATGGTGACAGTGTTTCATTCTGTTGTACTTGAGGTCACCTTGAGTTTGAGCCAGCTCTATGGCAACTTAAAGACAGCACTGGCCCCAGGGAACAGGGTTGCCTCCCAAACTACCTACCTGGGCAGAGAAGATGCCCAGAGGGAGTCCTAGCTCTTGCGGGGCCCTGCGTAGAGCCTGGAACCCATCTGCCATTTCCTCCTCTCAGTACTTTCCCCACGGGAACCCTTCAGTATTGGAGCAGATCCTCTGCATAAATTCAGTCCATCATTAGAAACCAAGAGAGTGTCCCTGCTGAGCAGTGGCTGTGAGCTGTGAATATTGGCTTCTATTCACCACGATATGACACATCCTCAAGAGCTGACTAGCTTGGTGAAAGATGCTGGTGGGGTACAAATTATTACACTTTCAGGGGAAAGTTAGAGGAAATTCAGTTTTAAGCCCACCCAAAAGTCTTGGTGCTGTTGGCTGCCTTCGGGTCAGCCTCTTCCAGTTCATGGTGAACTTCCTGAGTTACAGAGTAAAACAGTTCCAATGAACTTTCTTGGCTGGCATCCTTACGGAAGTAGATCACTGGGCCTTTCTGGGAAGAACCTTTGGGTAGGTTCACACCACCAACCCATAGATTAGCAGCCTCCTGGGAAACTGCATACACCATGCAGGCTCTGGTATCACACAGTTCAGCTTTTCCTCTTTTGACTTTGTGGCTTTAAAACCTGAAAGGAATGAGAAATTTCCATTCTATTAAGCCTAGAGAACTTAATAGTGAGCCCGCATTTGTTAGTGTGTCAGCCACAGAAGAGGCAATTTTCATAAAGCATCGAAATCCATGCCACTTTATTCTTGTGCCTTTTTCTACCCGGGAGTTTCGTGTGGAAATTGTTTCTGCTAAGTAGGAAAGACTGACTATATATGCAGCCCATGAAAGGGAAGCATTAGATTCTTTTGAAAGGTTTTTCATTATTATTTTCAGTTTTTTAAAAAATCCTTGCATTGCTCTGTGCTTTTCTTTTTTATTAAGTACTTATGCCTGTTATTTATCCTTACAGCCCTTTACCTAGATTGTGAGGGAATTATTTCTAATAGCACAAATCCACAACTTGTTAGAAGGAAAATTAGCATACACCTGCCCATCCTCTAAGCCTTAAGTCCCTTTGCTGCTTGTTGACTTCCTGGTATTTTAGGGGCTTTTTATTGCAGTCTGCCCCTGCCCAGGGCTTTCTGACCTGCCTGTTAGCCTGGTCCTCAGGGTTTCCTTACTGAATCTGCTCAGCTCTGCCTCCTGGTGTGCCTTTTCCTTCTGGACTCTTCCCCCTACTGCTGTCAACCCTTTGTTTAACTGCACACTGGTCATGTGATAGCCTGGGAGCACCCTCCACTCTGTTCTGCCTCCTGCACTTGGCCCTCCTTTCCTCTCCCAGTTTTCTTGGTCTCATGTGGGAGGGGGGTGGGGCTCCACAGAGGATTCAGCGAAACAGCAGGAGCATCTCTGGCCTATCCTTGGGCCCTGTTTCACCTACATTGTGCTTATTGTACTCATGTTAACTAGGGGGAGGACCTAAACCACTGTGTCTGGGAGCAGACAACCTCATCTTTCTCCTGAGGAGAGCCTAGTGGTTTGGAACCACTGGCCATGTGATTAGCAGCCCAACACTTAGCCCTCAACACCACCAGGGGCTCCTTAAACTGGGTAATTTTTGTTGTTAAGTGCCATTGAGTCAGTTCTGACTCATAGCCACTCTATATAGGGTTTCTGAGGAGCGGCTGGTGAGTTTGAACCCACTGACTTTGTGGTGTAGGGCATTATCCTGCAGCGCCAACCAGGACTCCATACTGGGTGGTGGTGGTGGTGGTCTGTGGAGTCGGTTCCGACTCACAGTGACCCTGTATAGAGTTTCTGAAGTTGTAAATCCTTACAGGACCGGAAAGCCTCCTCTTTCTCCCACAGAACAGCTGGTAGTTTCAAACTGCTGACCTTGAGGTTAGCAGCCCAACTCGTACCCAGTAAACTCCCAGACTGGGTGATTTGTTGTTAAGTGCCATCGACTTGGTTCCAAACCATAGTGACCCCGCATAGGGTTTCCGAGGAACAACTGGTGAGCTTGACTCGCAGACCTTGCAGTTCAAACCAACTTTGCAGTCCAGCACATTCATACACAGCACCACTCCTTGCTCATGAGAGATGTTAGCAGGTTTTCGGAGAGAAACTCTTGGCTTTGTGCAGTCTAATTGGGAGTGAGCCCGTTGGGGCCAGTGCCTTGAGTCCTACTCCTCGAGCTTTGCAGTGGAATGAGCCAGAAAGGACAGAGTGAAGTTCTCCTTGTTTCCCTCTGAACAGAAAAAGAAATGTTGGGAGTAAATTTAGAGCTGGTCGGTATCTACACTGAGAATTAGCTAAGTTTACATCAGGTTTCAGAGTTTAGTCCCCAGCGTTGCTTTAGGTTTTTCACAAGGTGCATGATAAGGTCCTGGGCATTGTGACAAGGCAGGACAATGGGGATGGATTTGGGGAGCGTAGAGCTCAGATGGAGGGAGGGAGCTGTCTTTTCTGTGTAATCCACCATTGATGAGGGGCTGCTGCAGCACTCTGTCCGGACCAGTCACGTGTCCCACCCCAGCGTTTCTCTTTTCCTTCCATGTAGCTGCTCTCCCAAGTCACTCCCACCTAACCCCTGTTCCTGCCTTCTAGAGTACCACGGAAATCCTTCCTCTGAGCTGCGGAGAAGTGAGCGAGTGTTCCAGCGCGCTTGCATGGTCTCTTCCCCACTGGTGGGTTGGGTGAATTGACAGACCTGCCAGGCCCAGGCAGTTATAAAGCCAAGTCAGACCCTATATGCCTTGATTCAGCTTGTTTTGGTTTGGTTTGGTTTTAACAAACAAACTTATTCTCTCACAATCCGGAGGTTACAAATCCAAATTCAGAGTGCCGCCTCCAGTCGAAGGCTTTGTCTTTCTTGGCATCAGTCTTTCCGGGAGCTTCACAGTTTCGGACCCTAGATCCAAAGCGTGCGCTCCATTCTCGGCTCTTCGGCCTTGTTCCCTTTCAGGGCATCCTCTTCAGAGAGTCCATAGGCAGTTTGATGTAGAGCATTGTTTTCTACTAAAGTTTGCTTGGGCACTTGGGGTTTTCCATCGGGAACGGCCATCCTCAGACATGGTGGAAGGTGAAGCAGAGTCTAATTGGGAATGAGCCAGCTCCAGTGTGCTGGGAGCTTTGCCCTTTGTTGGAGGAATCAGCTTTCACATCCCGAGAAGGAGGGCAGGTGAGAATGAGTCTTGAAATACCGGTCTAAGGCCCCGAAGGGCAGCTCGGAGTTGGCTTAGGAAGCTCTTGAAGTCCTGCTACGGGGAGGACCATCGTCATTGCCAAGACAGTGATATGATCCTTACAACAGACGACATGCATGTCTGATTCCTAGAACCTATGCATGTGTTCCTTAAATGGCAAAAGGGACTTTGCAGATGAAATGAACCCACACCCACTGCTCTCGAGTGGATTCTTATACTCTTAGCAGGACCTGCTCTGAGAGCTGACCTTCCCCTTAGGGTTTCCAAGGCTGTAAATCTGCCACGTCTTTCCCCTCAGAAACTGCTCGTGAATGTGAACTGCCAGACTTCCAGTAGCCACTGAGTGCCTTAACCACTGCGCCAACATGGCTCCTGGATTAAGATGGTTTGATTGCTGTCAAGTCCGTTCCATCGCGTAGGGACCCTCTGTAGTGTTCCCGAGACTAAATCTTTGTGGGAACACAAAGCCTCATCTTTCTCCTGCGGAGCAGCTAGTGGACTGTAACCACTGACCTGTGGTCTGCAGTCCAGTGCTTATCCTACAGAGTTACCTTGAGGTGGGAGGTGATCATGGATTACCTGGGTTGCCCCAGTGTCACAGGATCCTTCTCACTCCGTCTGCCCTGGAGAGCCTGGACTTGCAGCTGAGGACCGCTCCAGTGAGGACACACGAGACTGCTCCTCCTGGGAAGCATCCAGGCTGAGAGGCCTCTGCTAGTTGCTCATTCTGTGGATTTGAGAGCTGGGCTGTGTGTCCTTTAATATTCCATAGACAGGAAAAAAATGAGAGAAAGTGCTGCTCTAAACGGCAATAGAAAAATTGGAAACCTCTTTTCTTTAAGAGTAGATAGGAAAAAATATAAGCAGTCTGGGAGTAATTTGCAGCACAGTTACAGTATTTGAGCCACTATAAATATTTAGGGAAACATTACCTTAATATTTTGAGTGGATGAGCAGACCCTCCAGTTGATTCTCTGAGCCCTGGTTTTGACCCAATATGGTCATTTGTAAATTCTTGGGAGGTCAGAATTATCATTTTAATCCTCGAGCGAGCCAAAGAATCTTGGCCTATGACTGCTTTGTAATGTCTGCTTTTAGTTTCATTATTAAGACGAATATCAGAAGCCAGAAAAACCCCATACCAAAACTCAATAGGATTCTATTTTAAATGGTGTATACACACATATAGAGTTCTGGTGTGGTACCTACCGTAAGATAAGCACTCAGCTTCAAGTTCGGTTTGAACCTCAGGGTTGGCAGTTAACATTCACCAGCCACTCCTCAGAATCCCCCTACAAGGGTGGTAGCTAGGGGTTGAAACTAACTCAACAGTGCTTAACAACAACAGATGTGTGTGTGTATGGCTGCAGAAGAACAAGATGTCAGTTTGGTTCCCTTCTGAAGACTGAAACTAAAATTTATTACACTTTGTTATTAAAATTCCCTTATGACAAAACAGTTTTATTGTCTTTAATAGGCATAGATCTTCAGGAAATTAAATCTGATGAAAGACGTTGTGAAACTGACCCACACACACAAATGTGCCCCATACTTGCATTTAAAAACATACCATAGGAAGCAGATTCTCACTGTATGCACCCCTCCCTGCACCTGCCTTCCCACCTATATGCCTGCTGACCCCTCATCCCAGACTGAAGGGTTTCGTTGCTAGGAGTACTGAATGATAGTCTATGAAAATTTGAGTCAATTCCCGTTCTGGCTCTGCTGCTCCTTAGCTATGATGTTGTTAAGTGCTGTTGGGTTGTTTCCGACTTGTAGTGACCCTCTATAAGGTTTCCAAGTAGCAGCTGGTGAGTTTGAACCAATGACCTTGTGGCTCAAACCAGCCTTTCAGTCATATAGATAGATGTATGTAACCTCTAAGTTTGTGAGATCGTCATCTTCTCCCAACTCCCTACAGCACTGCACCCATTGAGTACAGGTGGAGAGAAAAGCCATGACTCTTACCCCCACCCTCTCCTGGTGCTTACAGGGAGGGGCCTGTCTAGCAGAAGATGCCCTGTCTCAAGGGAAGCAGTTTGGTTTGGTATATTCCTCCAGTGAGCACCTGTTTCATTCTTGAAGTCTTTCTTCTGGTGCACAGGATCCAGGGAGTATATTGGGACTTGTCTCAGCATTTGGAGGGAGGGCTCTCCTGTGTTTATTGAAACTTGATATTTTAGGTAAAAATCATTCATCTTTTCTCCCCAATTTTTGTTCCTCTTTCAGATTGATTCATGGTGCAAAGATAATAGCTATGTGATCGCTGGTTATTATCAAGCTAATGAACGTGTAAAGGATGCCAGGTATGTCCGGTTAGAACCCTCCGCAGTCTGCAGAACTGCTCAACTCTTCCCAGGGCTGAGGGAGACGGTCTCAGATGTGCACTGGCTCTGAGTTAACTGCATAGGCTCGAAGTGCAAAATCCTCGAGCAGAGCCCCTCCTTGCCCTCCATTCTTGTTTATAGTATGTGAGGAGCCTGTGTGCGGACAATTCCAAACAAAAATGCTAAACATTTATATTTAACTCAGGGGTTCTGTTTTCTATCGTCCCGTCCTTGTGCTGGAAGGGAATGTGTGCAGTGAAAGCAACATCAGGGCCCGGCGATCTTGGCTTCGGTTCAGCCTTGCTTGCTGTTCTCAAGACATGCTTGACGTAGGGCAGAGCCTTGGAGAGAAGCTCGGCTCTGCTCTGCTCTCTTTTAGGGCCAATGGAACAACTTTTACATTTGCAGTTCTTGGGGTCCCAGACTGTAAAGACACTGTTTGCCATTTCCTTTTATCAGGCCCTGGTTCCTTTGGTACAGAGAGTTCCCTGCCTGTGGTTAATGTTGATGTTCAGCACTGAGAGCTGCCTTTTGTCTGCATCAGTCAGAGACCCACTCAAGCTAGGGTCGGTTGAGGCTGTGAGGCTGTTCACACACGTGTGCAAGAGAACTCAGAGGCTGGGGCACTAACCTAGAGCTCATGATAAAAGCAGTTATTATCTGAAGCCTTAGGGACCCGGACAGGAAAGAGTTGAGTAAAGAAAACCACCTGAGAGGAGCAGTGACCCTCAGTTGAGAGACACAGTCAGCATAACGTATCCTCACAGGTAGGGCCCGGCCTGCCTGCCTCTCCTCCCTCTAGTTTCCTCCCTTCCTTTGGCCCACCCAGAGGCCAGAACACAGATGGGAGAAGTCCTGCCCACAGAAACAGGAACCAACCTCAGGATGCCCAGACAGAGCTTCCTCTCGTTACTATGACACAGACTGGCTCCAGGTCCGGAGTTCTGGGAGGCACTCTTCAGTGTAGTCTGTCTGCTTGCCCAGCACAGATGAGCAGTGGACTCAGTAGCATGTCTTGGAACAACATGTCTTGGTCCTAATGAATGTGCCTCAGAACCACAAGCCTCTGTTCTTGAAGGACTGCTTCTAGTTTCAGGGTTGGGGACGCTGGACAGAGAAAACTGGGCTCAAATGCTGCTGCCAGGAAGCCGTGTGGAGGACACCTTGGGATGCTGTGGCTCTGCCAGTGCATAGCGCCTGTGTCTTCTACTTCTCGGCAACTCCTTTTAACTTCGCTCTGTTGGGATCTCCTGTCTTTGGTGGTGGGTTCCCCTCCCTCCATGTCCAGGTGACTCTACATGTCTGCATAGAGCCGGCTCAGTCAGTCCCTTCCCTTTACTCTTCATATCCTCTTTGCAAGCCACCTGCCATGGGCCACGCTCTATGCTGAACAAGGGAGACACAAAGCTCTAAACTTAATAGAAAAAAACTACAGACACAAGCGTAGTCACAAGACCAGGGATTGACTGAGGAAAAGACCATCAGTTGCTCATATGCAAGTTCAAGTTGAAGCTGAAGAAAATTAAAGCAAGTCCACAAGAGCCAAAGTATGATCTGAAGTATATTTTACTTTAATGTAGAGATTATCTTTAGATTTGATGCATTGAGTACTAATGACTGGAGACCAGACAAATTCTGTGATGACTACAAGGATGCTTGGAGAAAGTAAATGTCATTAAAAAGATAGGGAGGTAAAAAAACCAAAGTAGCTGTCTGACAAAGCTCGGAAACTTACTCTTAAAAGTAAAGTAGCAGCTAAAGTGAATGGAAGAAGTGGTTTTGCAAGAAACCGAACAGAAGATTTCAAAGGGCAAGTTGAGAAGACCAAGTAAAGTATTGTGATGGAATGTGCAAAGATGAGTAAGAAAACCAAAAGGGAAGAACACACTCAGCATTTCTGAAGCTGAAAGAACTGAAGAAGAAAGTCAAGCCTCTCTTTGCTACATTGAAGGAGTCCTAGTGTTAACCACAAGGCTGGTGGTTCAAATCCACTAGCCGCTCCTTGGAAACTTTTTACAAGATTAGTATGAGTTGGAACTGGCTCAACGATGGCACTTAACAACTAACACGGATAAGACATTGAACAACACAGTAACTATCAAGTGAACTACAGAGAGTCACTTTCAGCCATTTGACGAGGTATTGTGACCAAGAACTGATGGCTGCACTGAAGATATTGGTGAGTATCGCAGGTTGTGATGGAATATAAATTGAAATGTTTGAACAAATGGACACAGCCCTGGATGGAAGTCTTTGCTCCCTATGCTACCTGGCTAACCAAGGTGAAGAGATCTGTGTGTGTGTGCGTACACACACGCCCATTCTAAAGAAAGCTGATCCAACAGAATGGAAATTGCTAAATAATATAATACCACATGCAAGAAAACTTTGGCTGAAGAGTATTTTTAAATGGCTGCAGCAGTATATCAACAGGAAACTGCCTGAAATTAAAACCGGATTCAGACGTGAAATGAGAGATATCATTGCTAATGTTCATTGAATCTTGGCTGAAAGCAGAGAATTCCAGAAAGATACTTACCTGAGTTTTATTGACTATGCAAAGACATATGATTGTGTGGATCTTAATCATTTATGGATTGAAATTTCAGAACACTTAATTGTACTTATGCAGAAAGTGTACATACCCAAAGAAGCAGTTTGAACAGAACCAGGGGATGCTGCCTGGTTTAAAAGGAGGAAAGCTGTGTATCCGGGTTGCATCCTTTGAGCATACTTATTCAATCTCTATGCTGAACTGGACTGTGAGAAGAACTGAGGAGCTCTGGTAATGTAGTTCAAAACTGCCAGCTGCTCCATGGGAGAAAGATGAGACTTTCTACTCCTGTAAAGATTTATAGCCTTGGAAACCCTACAGGGTTGCTATCAGTCAGAACCGACTCCACTGCCCGTAACCACCTCCACCATCACCATTAATAACAACCTACAGTATGCAGATGACATGACCTTGCTTGCTGAAAGTGAAGAGAATTTGAAGCACTTACTGAAAAAGATACAACATTCTGGCCTTCAGTATGGATTCTAGTTCAGTGTAAAGAAAATTCTCTTTACAGCTGGACCAGTAAGCATCACCATGATAAATATAGAGAAGATGGAAGCCGTCAAGGGTATCCGTTTACTTAACCCCTCAGTGAACACTTTAGGGAAGCAGCAGTCAAATCAAACAACTTACTGTACTGAAATTGGAATGGGAATCTGCAAACCACTGCTTTAAAGCCTTAGAAAGCAGAAATGTCATTGCGAACTACGGGGCACCTGAACCACCTTAGTTGAAAATAGGCATACTGTTTTTGTTGGCCTCCTAATGTATGTGACACCTGGATGATAAATAAGGAGTACTGGAGAAGAATTGATGCCAGTAAATCAGCTTCTACTATGGCATTTCATGCTTACTTCTGTTTGTTTATAATTAGCATATCATGGGTCTGTTTCCTGTCAAAATGACCTGGCGTGAGGTAGATACTCTATAAGAAACTTACAGGTACAAAATGCCCACTTGTACTGCTAAGGGAAGATGAGCCAGGTGGTCTCAATCTCCAGGGCACCTGCCGTTTTCTGTAGCCGATTTCTCCCCATGGGTGTAGAGGAAATCCAGGTACCAGTCTGACTACCCGAGTGCGGAGTTTCCCTGTCTAACCTGAGATCAATTGTAATACGAGTACATAATAGGCACAAGAACAGATAGAAACAAAATTGGCAAGTCTTTCCAATAGTCTAGGGATCAGTACCTACAGCTTCTTCTTTAAACTTCTTTCAGAAGAATTCATTAGAAATTTGAGATGTTGGGCACCTGAAACGGTTGTTTTGTTTTTAATAAGGGTGTCTTGATCCCCTTACAAATAAACGTCATCAAATAATATGGTACCTATAAGCATTAACAAGGAGTCTTGGGGTGGCGCTGTGGGTTCATGCGCCAAACTGCAAAGCCGTTTGAACTGCAAGGTTGGTAGGTCAAGCTCACCAGCTGCTCCTCGGAAACCCTATACAGGGACACTGGGCCGGAACCGACTCAGCAGCACTTCACAACAACAAGAACACCATAAGCATTAACAACAGTACCTGTATTAGATTCTTTGGCAAAGGGCTCTATACCTGTTTCTCTCTGTGTCTCTAGAAAGTAATCTTGGTGTGTTGCTGTAGGACAAAGCACTGGGACCACAAGTTCAGTTTGAAGCGCAAGGTGGCTGCTGTTCAAACCCACCAGTCACTCTTTGGCAACCTTATACAGGGTTGCTGTGAGTCGGAACCAACTCTACTGCACTAAAGAAAAACAACAGGAAAATAGTGCAAAGAGACTCGGTACAGTGGTTAAGCATTCATCTGGTAGCTGAAAGGTCTGCAGTCCAAAGCCATCAGCATTTCTGTAGGTAAAAGACCAACAGTTTGACCCTGTAAAGGTTAAAGCCTTGGAAAACCTATTGGGTAGTTATACTCTGTCCTTCACAAGCCCTCGTATGTCTCTTAGGGTAAGCACTGGACTTAACCACAGGGTCGTCATTTCAAGCCCACCAGCTGTTCTCAGAAACCCTATCTAGGGTCGCTAGCGGTTAGCAACAACAACTCTGTCGTTTAGGGTCGCTGAGTCCAAATCACAACAGCAGAACATGGTATAGAGGTGCAGTCAACAAACACTGATGGCTTGTATCCCCTCTGTACCTGCAGCACATGTGAGTCCTGCTGTATGACCCTGCAGACCAGCAGAGCCGTTTCCACCTCCTGCACACTGAGCTTTCATTCGGGAGCTGAGGATGTAGTCCCAGCATCTGTCATTGGTTTCTGAATACATTACTGCAGACTTACAGTGGGCACATCACTCTGAAGTCTTAGTTTTTATGATAGAAATGAAATAATTAGATAAGACAGTTTTTCATGAAGCTTTGCTAATCTCCCTTTTCAGCTCAATCATACTAGAAGGTTTGTTATAAATGTTTAGTGTGGTTCTTTGACTTAACTGAAAATAATGCCATAAAGCAAAGTATTTCTCAGTCCCTCCCTCCGAGCCGATACCGTAATTGCGGAGGCACCATGATGTTCACGGGAATGAAACCACACACCCAGGAATAGGGGCGAGCTAGCACCTTATAGATGGAGACACGTCCGCATTTACGGGCAGGAAATGGATTTGCTCTCAAGCCACTAGGCAAGGCTTCAAGGAGAGACTGGTGTGTTTGTAGGAATTCAGTGAGCAGAGATTGGCATGTGGGGGAGTGTTCCAGACAAAAGACAGTGAATGAGCAGGGAAGGGGTGAGTGCTCCTGAGACTAGGAGAGGCGGCTAGGGTCTAAGGAGATACCTCAGAATGCCGCAGGTATGAATTCAACTCCTAGTGACCCTGCTTCCCAAGGTTGTAAATGTTTATGGAAGGACCACCCACCAAATCTTCCTCCCATGGACACTGGTCACTTTGAACTGCCGGCCTTTCAGGTAGCGGGCTAACCTTTAACCTACTGTACCACCAGAGAAGAGCCTCAAAATTGGGAGGCCAGTGAAGAGGCAGTTTTAGGCCCACACACACACCTGAACAGGCCAGGTGTCAGGGAAAGGCCCCAGGGCACTGGATGGTGACTGAGTCAAAGGGGAGCAAGCTAGGCCCTTCTTGAGGAGTGGGACAGGAGCCATAGGCCTCAAGGGATGGCAGGCAGGAGTTGGACAGTGAGTATTGTAGGTGGCCGTCGAAATTTTGAATCTGAAGACGCATGGAGAAGAGACCAAGTTGCACAAAGCTGACAGTAGAAAATGGAGCTTGAGCGAGCAAGAAAGCTTATAAAGGAAGTTTTGGTTGAAAAAGAAGAGGAATATTGGACAGTGACTAGAGGAAAAGAGTTACTTTTTTTTCACCCCCTAAAAAGAAAATGACTTGGACAAATTTGGAAATGGAAATGGGCTAAGTCCGCAAGGAGACTAGTGTGGAAGGCCGTGGGCTGTGAGGCAGGACTGGGGCGACCAGTGTTCAGTAACTGGCTCTTTGGACTTGGTGGGGAGGGCCCGGCGCTGTGGAGTGGTAGAGATTTGGAGGGCGCCTTGATTGTCCACAGCTATGAGGTTTTTTTGTTGCATTATAGACAACAACTGAGTCAGTTTTGCAACCTGGCTCAGAGCCTTTCTCCTTAGATTCCCTGTACTCAGCTTCTTGGGGAGCCAGTTGGGACCTGCTCCTCCCATAGGTCACTGCAGGCGTTGTTGAGAGCCTCTGCAGGTGCAGCGAGCAGAGCAGCTTGTTGGTTCTGCTGGTGGCACTTACAAGGCTACCTTGGGTAGATAGTGTTCCATAGCATTAGCTTGGGCGCAGGAAAACTAACTGGCTTTTCTTTTGCAGCCCAAACCAGGTTGCTGAAAAGGTGGCTTCCAGGATAGCCGAGGGCTTCAGTGACACGGCTCTCATCATGGTACGTCGCCCGGGGCTGTTTGGCGTGTTGCGCTTTGTGCAGGGCTAATGCGAATGGAGTCTTACTGTGTTCTGTAAGTCCTCCTCCTTTCCCTGGAAGGCCAGCTGAACGTGTGCTCATTAGGCTGTTGCTGCCTTCTGCAGTCTTCCCCCAGCTGCAGCTTTAACCCAGTCCAGACCAAAGTATTTTTTTGAAACCATTGTTTTCAGTACTGGAAAGCACTCAAGTGCTGTAACCGACTGTCACTGTCACCACCAGAGAAGAGCCCGGAATTGGGAGGCCAGTGAAGAGGTCGTTTCAGCACACACACCCGCTACACACACACACACACCTGAACAGGCCAGAGTGGCCCTCTAGTTAAACACTCAAACTGAAAGGTCTGTGATGTGGAACCACTAAGCAACTCTGTAGGAGAGAGAGCTGGCAATGAGCTGCTGTAAAGGTTGTTAAGTGCCGCTGAGCCTAATCTGACTCACAGTGACCCTGTATAGGGTTGTCAAGGAGCGACTGGTGAGTTTGAACCACCTAGTTTGTAGTCCAGTGCTTATCCTATAGCACTGCATACACCAGGACTTCTGAGGAAACAGCTCTGCTCTGTCACACAGAGCCCTATGAGTTAGAATCAACAAGACGGCGCCTAATAACCGTATGTATTGTGATAGCAGACTGTCTTGGTGAGAGTCCACCCGTCAGATTTGAGCATTGGCATGTCGGAAGGAGGATTTCTGTTTGCTTTGCTGTGAGAGTGAGAAGGAGGGAGTGTGTAAGAACTTAACTCTGTGTCCTTTACCTTTGCTCAGGTAGACAACACCAAGTTTACAATGGACTGCCTTGTGCCTACAATCCACGTGTACGAACACCACGAGAACAAATGGCGGTGCAGAGACCCACACTAGTGAGTGCTCTGTGTGCGGGCCTCCTGCCTCGGTGCCCTGCTTTCCCAGGAAAGCCTGTCCAAACCTAAGTTAGTGTTCTCCATAGGAGTTCACAGACCTTTCAAATCGTGAGTAGTCGTCCACTCCCCGCGAGGACTAGGCTGGGGGCTTCTAAACAGCACAGAGGACTGCATGTGACTTCCGGGTCCTGTCACCTCAGCCCCAGGGAACCAGTCTTCCTTCTGAGCAGGACAAAGAACTGTGTGTCACATCTGGGTCCTATCACCCCAGCCCCAGGGAGCCTCTCCCCAAGCTACACCCCCCGTCTAGCCGTGTAGTTGGATTTTTCTTTCCACAAGCGTCCGCATCCTCCTGCTCTTTCAGGATTCTGTTTGAATGGCATCTCTCCCGCCCTGGCTGTGTTTTCTGTTTTTATGTCTGTCCTGATGTTTGTCGACTCCTCATTATTGTCTTCATGTCCATTTGCCTGTGGCCAGTGTCTTTCTCTGTTGAGAAGCCACCTGCCTGCACTGTGACCGGATTAACATCTCCATCTTTGGCCTCGTAGTGATTACTGTGAAGACTGGCCTGAGGCCCAGAGGATCTCAGCCTCGCTCCTGGACAGCCGGTCCTACGAAGCCCTCGTGGACTTCGACAACCACCTGGATGACATCAGGAATGACTGGACAAACCCAGAAATCAATAAAGCTGTTCTCCACCTGTGTTAGAAGAAAGTGTGGTTTCTATGTAAATAGAACATCACTTAACCTACAAGAAAACTGGCAGAGTGGAGAAGTGTCTGCTCAGCCGTCTCTAGAAGAAGCCCAGACGGTCCAGTCCAGCCTCCCTATGGACTCCTCCCCACTCGTATGTTGCTATAATTTTCCAAATCAAAGCTATTTCTGCTTGTCCAAGATTGTTCCTATTAAACCCTTTTAGCTAACCTTTTATAATCTGAAATACTTTTTAAAGGCTCTGAACTCTTTTTAAAAAAAAAAAAATCTGCGTCTTATACTCAAATGAGTGTGTTTGAGTTTTTGTGCTCGCTGAGTCAGTGTCGTCCATCCCGGGCAGACATGCAGTACTGGTCCCGTTACCTGTGCACTGCCGCTGCAGCCTCTCGGGGTGGCCACAGTCAGGCACACGTGGCTGCAGTGATGCTGTGCACAGAGGGGCTGAAGCCACCATTGCCTGAGAAACCTCCAGAATTCAGGGGATACCCAGCCTCATTTGTAATGGGAAGCTGGATTTGAGCACAATATAATGCTTTCTCTGCTGACTGAGAAAGCTCCAAAACATTCTGCCAGGAAGAAGGGAGGAAAACTGGACGCAGGCTGTGATGATACGCACTTTCCACGGTCTTCAGAAAACAGATCGCAATCTTGCTCCCGATTGACTTAACCAGAATCCCCTAAATGGTCCTCATCTAGGTCTTCCACGCAGTTGTGTTTTTTTGTGTGTTGAAAAGACTTAGACACCCCACCCCCCACTCCAGGTTGTTCAAAGCTATGTCTTACCATTTATATAGCTAGAATGTTTGCTAAGATTTTCCAGCCCAACAAATCGGGGAGATTCAGGTGTTGCAGACAGATGTGCCTCTCTAGCCCACTAAATCTGCTCTCTCTTCAGACCCCTCTTAACCTTGGCTTTTGAGACTCACGTTTCAAGTGAGGATCAAAAGAGTCCAAAGTCTGGGAACCAAGAGAAGGGGTCACCCTTGTCCCCACACTCCAAGACCTTAACTTGAACATGTAGTGAGTCTGTGCTTACTTCAGGAAGTAAGACCAACCCAGCATTCACCTTGCGAGACTCTGATCCTACGGCAAACAGGAACTCTCGGGCAGCCTGCCATTCAGGGTCAAGGGGTTTAAGCAGTTGGGATTAAGTTAATTGGTGGCAAAGGCTAGTTTCTGAGGTTTATTAGATTTTCCCACTTCCTGGAATATGTGCTGTGTCCCTTGTGTGGACTGGCCTCAGCTAACACCACATACCTTTTCCCTGGACTGTCTCCGGCTGATTCAGGCCTGTGTTTTTCAAAAGAAAGCATACCAAGTCCTCTGAAGGGAAGCATGTGTTTATGAAAAATGTGACAAAACCAAACCTGTAAAGCTTAGATAGCTTCTGTGTCCTTTGTAAAGCTAGCGGGGGAAACAGGCCCCCATGCTTCCTCCTTGAGGTGTGTGGTATTCCCCACCCAGGACATACCCTGGTGGTGCTGCCAGTTAAGCATTGGGCTTTAACTGAAAGGTCAGCCGTCTGACTCCACCAGCCGGGCCATGGGAGAAAGATGTGGCAGCCTTCTGTGAGATTTACAGCCTTGGAAGCACTCTGGGGTCGTTCATCTCTGTCCTGTAGGGGCTCTAGGAGTTGAAAACAACTCCACAGCCATGGGTTTGGCTCCCCAGGAAAGAGCACGTATGGTTTTATAACCTCTTGTGACCTTTTTATTTATACTTTGCCCTTTTATACAAAAGATTTAAAGGAGCCACACAAAGTACATTTGTACACTGAGAAATCTTCCCATCAGAGTGCTCTTAGCTAATTCATTTGTGTATGTGTGTAGGGAGATTGCCCCCACAGCCAGCTATGTGTAAATTTTTGGACAGTTTTTTTCTCTTCAGTACTGTCCATCCATTTAAGGTGAGTAGGACAAATTATTGATTTCTATAGAAATGAACTTCTCTGTTTCTAATCACTATTTCCCTCAAGAATTGAGGCTGCTAATCAGAGAAAAGTAGGCAGTAGCTTCCGAAGTAGTATAAATAGTATGTTTGCTCACTAAGGAAAAATTGATTTGGGTAATTCTAATGAGATTAGACTGATTTGGAAATAGAACTCACATGAGGAATCTTGAATAATTTAACTTTTCTAGTCAAATTTACATGAATCTGATGTTTTTCAGCCTCCCTAGTCCTGGTGTCCTGGTGTGGCGCTGTGGGTTAATGTGCCAGACTGCAAAGCCATTTGAACTGCAAGGTCGGCGGTTCAAGCTCGCTAGCCACTCCTTGGAAACCCTATACAGGTCATTATGGGTCGGGATTGACTCTAAGGCACTTAACTGTTGTGGCACTGTAGGGCAAGCACTGGACTGCCAACCACAAGGTCAGCAGTTCAAACCCACTAGCCACTCCTTGGAAATGCTTTACTGAGTCACTGTGAGTTAGAACCGACTTAAAGGCATCTAATAAGTGTCTGGTGTGGCTTTTAAGAACTGGACTGCTAACCACCAGATTAGCAGTTCAAGCCCACCTACCACTCCTTGGGAGAAAGAGAAGACTTTCTGCTTCTACAAAGATTTACATGTCAGAAACCCTAGACAGAGTCACTGGGTTGCAACAGACTATGAATAGTCTTAAGTGTAATTAGGGTTGATTTACTCTAAATAGCTGGGTTTCCTGATTGATGTGTTTGGAAACCCTATCCCTGCCAATGGTATTCCTCAGCTCTTCTGACCCTCCTTTCTGTGTTGCCTCCATGAGAAAGGCATTACTTATGGAAATGTCCCTCTTTGGGCATCCTGGTGAGTGGGAACAAGAGAAATCCCCAGAGGGCTCCATCCCCTTGCTCTGCAGGCACTTTTAGCAAATTTAGGAAGAGCTGGATTTAAAAATAGACTTCAGCCTTGCTAATTGGCATATCTTGAGGCTTTCCATCCACTCTCAGTGCCTCTTAGCATTGGGTTTTGCTTTGTTTTGTTCTTTGAATTCAATAAAAAGCCACCCAGGAAAAACACCTTAGTGCTTCTCCTGCCCACACATAGGGGTGTGGTACCACTCAGAGTTCCATCCACGTGGAGTATGTGGCAGAACACCAGTGTTTCCACCCTCTTAGATGTTGCCTGGTTGCTTCTCAAAATGCTGACAGGTGTCTTTGAGCAGGAAGTAGAATTGCATCACTTCTGATAGCTCTTGGAAATGCATTACCATTCTCTTGGGAGCCTACTTGTCCTTAAGGATGGGCTCCTCAGAGTGGACATTTCCTTGCAAGACTAAAATGCTGTCGCTGGAGAAGTGACCGGAAGATTTCTCTTCAGAGACAGACTGAGACCTAACCCAGCTTCACAAGTGGAGAGGGCTGTATTCTGCATAGTTGTTTTGCTTTTGAAGTGGTCCTGCAAGCATTAGCAAACCCCTCACTTACCTTTTCCTAGAGGGAACTGTTCGCTTCAACCCCTAGCACTTATAAAGCAAAAGCAGCCAAAGCCCAAACCCTCTGCTATTCAAACTTAGCAACCCTATCGGCCAGTGAGAACTCCGAAGAGTTTTTAAGCCTAAATGTTTTGGGAAGTAGATAGCACCTGTTTCTCTTGTGGGGTGGCTGCTACCTGAGTGCTTATCCACTGTGCCATCAGCATTCCACATCAGAAGACCATTCTGTAAAGTAATAAGTCACCAGTAACTCCCATCTCCTGGAGGTCCCATGTGTTAGGGCAGAACTGCTTCACTGGGTTTTCAGTGGCTGAATTTTCCAAGGCACTTGTTTTTTTTTTCAAAGGCTTTTATTGTGGATTGAGTGAAAGTTTACAGGGCAGATCATCGCTTTAATATTCAGCAAATCATACACCCTGTTTCATTGCAATGATTATAATCCCCTCCATGTACCATCAGTTAACAGTATTTCTCTCTATTCACATTCGCTTTTTTTTTTTAAAAAAAAAAACCACTCACGCATATATAATAATCTACACTTCCAAAGGGCCTCCTGGCCACTAGCTCTTAGTCCCACTCTCTCCATGAATCTAGAGTCCTCAGCCGCTCCCCCTCTCCATGTCCCCATCTCTGCCTCCCTCTCTGGCTTCGCTCCTCTGGATAAGTTCCCGCATTCTACTTGTGCTCTCCTCCCTTAATGGTCCTAGGGTCCTCTGTTTCTGGACTATAAGATTAAGTACTCCCCTGTTTTTGTTACAAAACTTCTACCTTTAAGATTGTGACAGTCGCAATTAGTCCTGATAACAATTATTCACTATTTTTTAATATTCAGTACTGAATATTAAAAAATATCCCCATCTCTTTTAACTAGACCTATCTAGACAAGATGAAAGCTATTCAGTGGGGACTCTTCCTCGCCCCCCCCCCCATAATACTCAAACTAAACTCCTGCTTGAAACCTTGTAAGCCAGTCATTTCATGCCTTTATCGCCCCCTCATTGTAGGTAGCCAAATGTCTAAGTTGCCTGTCCCTATCTACCCTGTGTACAGAGGGGATATAGCATTGATACTTGATGTGAAGACTTCTTCCCTCTCTTGGTATTTAGAGTTAATACGGCCATGAGTAAGGAGCTCTGGTAGCGTAGTGGTTACGAATCGGGCTGTGAACTGCAGAGTCAGCAGTTCAAAACTACCAGCTGTTCCGCGGGAGAAAGATGAGGCTTTCTGCTCCCGTAAAGATTTACAGCCTCGGAAACCCTGTGCAGGGTTGCTACAAGTCGGAACCGACTCCACGGCACATAACCACCATCATCACTGCCGTGAGTATAGATCAGATTCATCAAATTAGAGCAATTTACCCTTGTTTCCTTTATTACATTTTTTTTTTTTAATTTAATCTCCCTCTAGTCGAGTTCTGATCATCAAGCCATCGAGACTAGGTCAAATGGGTACTTTCTGCAAGTTTAGGTGTTCTTGTGCATCTCCCCTCACTTCTTATCAGCTGGATGCTTCACTCTCAGCTCTAGCTCTCTGTGGCTATGTCCTTGTCCAAGGGCTCGGCTGCCCCCAGGCCTCACCAC